AGCGCGGGCGCTGGGGAGGGGGAGCGGGGGCCGGGGAGCGTCGCCGCCGCGCCGGAGGGGGTGAGGGACTCCTCCTCCTCCTGCTGGAGAGAGAAAAGGATTTGCCATAAAACTTCCAATTCAGCCAAGAGATCCTTTATGTTCTGCCTTCACTACATGAAATCAGCTCGTTCATGCACTTGGAGGGGTTTAAGGACAGACTTGGACTTGATGATCTCAGAGGTCTTTTCCAACCTTCATGATTTTGTGGTTCTGTGAAAATGAAATCCTATTGGAACTACAGATGGAAAAAATAAAGTCTTTCCAAGGAGTGTGAGAACATGTTTGACTATGACTCTGAGCCCACTGCAGCAGTCAGGAGACAACTGCACATTCTACTCAACCAGACACAGCACCATGATGGAGAGAAAGGGGAAGACCAAATGGCTGGAAAAAGGGATGGATAATGCACTGATTTTGGCTGGGGTAGAGTTAATTTACTTCACAGCATGAAATTACTCCTGAAAACAGCTTTTATCTGAAATCCACATGTATTTGTTTCTCGAAATGCAGAGAAAAATCAGAGCTGTTGCTAAAGTGCAGCTCCAGGATTGAAATTAGCCCCAAAATGGGCTATTTGCTGCTCTGCAAGGTTTTACAACAGACTTCTGGCAGGGGAAATTTGTATCCAACACATATTTTTCCACAATTTTAAAGGAGAGGAATATTGCTAAGGTAAAATATTCCTTATCTTTTTTAAAGCAATTAAGATAAAATGACTGGATAAGGTAAAAATCAGCAATGAAAAAGCAAAGCAGTTGATCTACACAAACTTGGACTTGTTTTCAGATATATTGGGTATTGTTCTCCAAGGCAACGAGATTCACTTTTACAGGGAAGAGTTTGCTCCACAGTACAACCTTATTTTATGATTTAAAAGAAGTATCAGCCTTCAAATGTACTAATTAAACATGTACCTATGTAATAGGCAGTTTGTGAATTTAGGATGTTGCAAAACAGAGCAAGACCTTGGAATTCCAACCTGTTTTACATAGAATTGTTTGACCAGATCCATAATTACAGTGGTCTGCACTGGTAGTAGTCACACTTGTCTCACACATCATGATGTATGGCTCTATCTTCTGCCTGGGGCTTAATTACAGCTTGCTCAAGGGTCATTACAGCCAATTAATAAAACCATCAAGCTTCCTGCACCTTCTTATGTCCCCAGATCAACACAGAGCAAACAATACCACAGGTGTGAACAGTGCTACCTATGTCAGAAAAAAGAAAGGAGGTACTCACTACTCCTCTACTCATTCTCCACTACCAGTAGTTCCAAATATCTAATGAGCTGAGGAATGAGACTTTTGAAAACTCCAATTATCTGTGACCCAGAACATCAAGATCTTAATTGCTCCTTGCAAGTGTACAGAAAGGTTTTAGCCAGAAGGTCAATGGCAGCAAGAACCCAACACTGCTCACCCATCCTTCCAACCTACACAGGCTCAAGGAGTAAGGAACCTCTGAGGAACACAACTGTTCAGCTGTTTTCAGGCATCAGGAAGATGTTAATAACATTAATGTCACAGGCTGATGTGAATTAACACCCAGTGAGCACTGCAGCACACACAGCAGGTGTTCCTCCTCTATTTCTGGCCAGTGAAATGGTCCCAGATCCAACCCCTGAAGGAACACATCAGTGTGAATTCCCCTCACCTTACTGAGGGTACAAGGCCAAAGGCCAAGAGTACAAATGAGCCCAAAGGATTTGCTGCATGTAAATCCTATTGAACAGATGAATTTCTAACCAACCTTTTCATCACTGGCGATTGCCACCTCTTTTCCATCTGCATCCTGAGAGCAGTGGAGGAAAGACAAACAAAACAAATCTATCTGCCACGTATTTGAGGCAAAAATGAACATATTCAATTCAATCAGAGTTAATGAGCAAAACAGGAATGAAATCTTGAAACAAGATCGGGCAAACTGGACATGACTTTGCTCTGCTGTGTTTCTGCTGACAGTTGCAGAGCACAACATTAAGGAAATGGTGAGAAGGAGGTGTCAGTTGAGTCGAGGTTAAGGAGGAATTACCGAGGGGAGGATTCCTTCTGTCGTTTCCGCGGAGACGGCGAAGGACTGCGCGAGTGCGAGTGGCGCCGGCGCCGTCCGACCTCCCCGTTCTTCACGTTGGATCTCTTAGGTCTTTCCTCTTCAGATGAAGATGAAGAACCAGAATCTACAAACGTAGAAAGAATCACTCTCTGGAAGATGATTCTCATGACTCTTATCCCAGTTTCTGAGAGTTCAAACCAACCTCCTCTCCCACAAAGCAAGAAGACATTTCAAAGCAGCTCAACTCAAACGCTGCTTCAAGTCAAGTGATAAAGAGCTGCATAAAAATACTTGTGGCAACCTAACTCTCCCCATAAAATGGGACTAACCAGGTAATTTAAAAGATGAACTGCAGCTACTCACAGAAACACTGTGTGGACAAAAATCTATACCCAGGTGAATCTGCTGATCTCAAATATGAATCCAAAAATGTTAGCCAATAATCTAGACTACAACAGATTAATCAACCCACAGCACACAATATTTGTGTGTGATGTTAAGAGTTTAAAAGTGCAACTTTCAGAGCTGTGAACCCATTAACAAGAGACATATCACAACCTTTAAGTTCTACTTTAATTCTTCCCGAGCGATAATTAGCGACCTCATTAGGAGTGGCAAATCCATAATTAAGTTTATGACAGCTCTGCAGAGCACACAGCAAATAGTTTGAATCAGTATTTGGATTTAACATGAATTAATTCCTGTAAGAGTAAGCTACAATGAAGCTTAGGAGATGACTGGCCCCATACCAGATGAAGACTGTTGGTTTTGCCTCCTGTACTGGCGTCTCTGTTGGACAGAGTCTGCTGCAGCCATTTTCCCTCCTTTGTCTTCTTCTGCAAAGACACACATGGACAGAACATTGAAATCAAACACACCAACTTGCCTTATTCAGGCAGAAGCCAAGTCATAGCACAGTACATCATCAAACATGGGATTTTCTCCCCCTGAATCTGATGATAACCTTGAGGCTGCAACACACTTCACTGCCCATCATACATCTTTGACTAAAATCCCCACCCAAAAGCAGTGTGGAAAAGGCAGAGCCATACCTGATTCTGACAGTTCTGCCTTCCTTGGTTTTGGTGCTGGGGAAGGAGATTCTCTTTTTTCAGTACTCTTATGTTTGGGTGCTAGAAGACAAAACCAAATAACTCAGTTGCATTTCATGACATTCTCTCATTCACTTCTGCCCATAAAAAGTGTACACACCATGTCTGAGGAAACAACAGCACAAAATGACAAAGCTCATGTCTTTCATCATTATCATCATTGAGGATGATCATCATCATCATCACTGAGGGGTTGGAATGGATCTTAGAGATCATCTAGTCCCAATCCCATGGGCAGGGACACCTCCCACCAGAGCAGGTTGCTCAAGGCTCATCCAACCTGGAATGAACACTGCCAGGGTTGGGGCAGCCACAGCCTCCTTGGGCAACCTGTGCCAGTGTCTCACCACCCTCACAGGGAAAACTGCCTAATATCTAACCTAAATATCCCTCTTTCAGTTTATACCCAATATCCCATCCCATCCCATCACTGCAGTTCCTGCCCAAGAGTTCCTCTCCAGCTTCCCTGGAGCCCCTTCAGATCCTGGCAGGAGGTTGCTCCGAGGTCTCCACACCCTCCTCCAGCCTGAACAGCCCCTAATTTCTTTAAGGACAGCCTGGACGAGGCACTTGTCCGGCTGCCAATGGTGGCGTGTTGGGTCATAGCTTGGACTCGATGACCTCAGAGGTGTCTCCCAAGCTGAGTGCCTGAAGACAAACTCTGTTCCCTCACCTGAGGCTCTGCTGGGCGAGGCGGAGCC